ACAGCAAATCAAGGAATTCTTTTATATAATTAAGTCCAATATTGGTACAAAAATTTATCAAAGTCATTCTGGTTTTTGTATTTTTGCACGCTAGTTTGAGCACTTGCGGTTTAAAAAGAAGCCTGTTCGTGGACAATTGGTATTAACTTTATCAATAACCGTAGAAGGTTGGTCAAGGTGGTTTTCCATTATTGTCTCGTATGCAAAAATAAAACTATACTAAACTAGATTAACCGTCGGTACTTTTATTAGGCAATAAGTGCATTCGAACTGTGACCTTGCACCTATTGAAAATAGATATGCATTTGTTCTGAAAAGTTTTTGCACTTTTTCGTTTGTTAACATAAATAAAATAGCTACTAAGAAATCACAAACAGTTTTACATAATAGAGTTCATACTTGAGCAGTTTCAGCATTTCTATACCTAACCAGTTAAATCGTTTTACAAAATACTTACAACTAAACATTAATTCAAATAAAAAATGTAATTTTTTATAAGAGGTTGCTTTTCTGTTTCTAAAAGGGAAGTACTTTTGTGGAGGAAGGCAGTTACAAGAAGGGTCACAGTACCCACGGGGGTCATCACGTTCATAAACTAAACGAATTCAATAAGAAAGTTGAATTCTGGGACGAAGATCATGATGAAGCATTCAAAGAGAAGCACGGAGGCTACGAAAACTCCCATGGACACAAGGCCGGTGGAAAATTCAAAAAGGGTCACTCAGACGCAGGTCACCACGAAGAAGGTTTCGGAAAACACGGCGGCAAAGAAGCAGGAAGTCATTACAACGAAGATGCCGGACGCAAACATGTTGGAGGTCTCGAAGAACATTTCGAACATGGAGAGAATTACGGAAAGAAAGATGAAGGAGCTGAACAAAAGAAATGGCTTATAGGGAATACTCCACATAAGGGAATTATTTGATGACGTTATCATATGAAGAAATCAATGAGGTAACAGTTGAAGCTAAAAGATAAGCGAAACCCACAAGTTGACTTTAGCTGATACGTCCACATTTGCGATTCTTATTGTGATTAAAAATGTTCATTCTCTGTTATTTATTGCATACGCTATATTTTATACTTCGTCTCGTATTTTGTATAATTTAATTTAAAATTAATAAAAAACGAACATTATTTTTACATACACAATTTGTTTTGTATTTTATTTAATGGATTACGAAAAGAAAAAATATTTCTTGAAAAATTTCATCAACAAAGTTTTGATAAATTTAGCTAAACTAATGGAATAAATATCTTTAAGGGATGTTTCCTAAATGAGTCACCTTGAACACAATTTTTCTTGAATATTGTCGAAATTGTTGGATCAGGTTGAAATAGATTAAACTGGTTCATCTTATTAATCGTTCGATAAACCAGTTTAACCTACACAAAACAAGCTTCTAATGGAATCAACTAGAATTAGGATAAACTGGTTTATATTATTATCCTTCCGATAAATTAATTTGGCTTACACATAACTAATTTATTTTGAAGTCAGATTAAAGTAGGACATTTTGGTTGATCTTATTACTCCTTGGATAAACTAATTTGCCTCAGACAAAACGAGCTTATTCTAGAAACAGGTAGAACTAGGAAAACAAACAAGATTGACTTGTGACTTGAAAAAACTAATTTATTCTGAAATCAGGTTGGATTAGGACAAATGGGTTTATCATATTACTATTTGGTTAATCTTTTTTGATCCAGACAAAACGAGTTTATTCCGGAAGCAAGCAGGATTGAAACAAGCTGTTCTTTCTTATTACTCTACAGATAAACTAATTTGGCCTAATTTAGGACTGGAAAGAACTTACTGCTCTTGAAATAATCTAGTTTAACTTGCCTAGGCAAAACCAATATATTCTGAAATAAGGTTGGACTAGGACGAGTTAGTTGTTGTTGCTATTCTTCGGATAAACTAGTTTAGTCCAGACAAAACAAGCTTATTCTGAAAGGAGATAGGACTAACACGAACCGGTTTATCTTTTTACTCTTCGGATAAACTAGTTTCGCTTATGCAAAACTAATATATTCCGAAATAAAGTTGAACTAAGACAAATTGGTTGTTCTTATTACTCTTCGAATAAACTAGTTTGGTTCAGACAAAACGAGCTTATTCTGAAAGAGATAGGACTAGGACGAACTGGTTTATTTTATTACTCTTGG